AAAAAAAAAAAAAAAAAAAAAAAAAAAAAAAAATCAGGGAATTCAAAAAAAGACACCAATTCCTTACAAACCTGATGACAAAACCCTGTCCTGAGATTTACTTATATTTGACTTCACTCATGACCAACCAATAGCTTAGGGGGTTGTTGCAAAGTATACTTGATGTGTTAGCCACACTTAAAATACTAGTGCAAGCATTCAAGTAGAATGACACATGCTGCTGAGTGCTCCTGAATCATAGTAAAATTTTGTTGAAGGAGGAGTATCAGGAAGTGGACAAATTGGAGAGGGTCCAGCAGAGGGCAACAATGGTGAGAGGACTGGGGGACATTACTTATGAGTTGAGGCTGAGGGAACTGGGCTTATTTAGTTTAGAGAAGAGGAGACAGAGGGGATTTAATAGCAGCCTTCAGCTACCTGAAGGGGGGTTCGAAAGAGGATGGAGCTAGACTGCTCTCAGTGGCGGCAGATGACAGAACAAGGAGCAACGGTCTCAAGTTGCAGCAAGGGAAGTTTAGGTTACATATTAGGAAGGATTTTCTCACTAGGAGGGTAGTAAAGCACTGGAACAGGTAACCCACAGAGGTGGTAGAATCTCCATCCTTGGAGGTTTAAGACCCGACTAGACAAAGCCTTGACTGGGATGATCCAGATGGGGATGGTCCTGCCTTGAGCAGGAGGTTAGACTAGATAACTTCCTGAGGTCCCTTCCAACCCTCATTTTCTATGATTCTATAATGCAAGACTGCTCCACTGCAATAATACGAATACGGCAGTCCCGAGCCTAGGACCCATAATACTGAGTCTCTGCCTCAGGATTGAGCAGAAGTTTCCAACTGGCTCAGGTGGGTCCCTGCACCTAGACAAGAATGCAGGGGAGCAGGGAGGGGCTACGGGGAATTCTCTCAAAACTGATTTTTCAGGTCTTTGCCCTGGGACTGCACTGGAGTCTTGAACTGCCTCCTGCACCAACCCAGGACTAAGACCCCCCCCAAAAAAAAACCAGTTGATTTTCAGGTCTCAGCCCTGGGACTGCACGGGAGCCAACTCAACACTCCAGTGCAGGACTAAGATCTGTATTTCTATATTTAGACTATAGCAAACATTAGCATATGACTGCTCAGCAAACTAAGTGGTACTAAATGCTTAATACAAATCTAATATAATTGTTAGATGTAACTAAGTGTAACATGCAACAAGGCCCTTATACACATAAGACTACTTAGTATAATGGTATAGCATAAGGCCTTAGTAACACCTTTTCTGAAATACTGTGTACAGGTGTAGTTATCTAAGTTCAAGAAAAAAAAGTTAGAGAAAGATTACTTGAAATGCCAGGGGAATGGAGAGCCTCTTATGACTAGAAGAGGTTGTCTTGTTTAGCCTAGCAAAGCAAAAGCTGAGAGGGAATGGCTGCTCTCTCTAGCTGCACTGTTGCACACAACACAGAGGGAGGAAGCTAAAAAAAGTAAAATATATTATTTATATAGAGAGAGATTGGGAATTAGAAGGTTCCTAACCAAAAGTAGTGGATTTCCACATACGCACACCTGTCCCCAACCAGGAAGAGAGAGAGAGGCAAGCAACTTAACTAGTTTTAAGGCTGAGTTTGATAAGTGTATTAACATGCTCTGTAAAGTGGTAACTAACCATAGCAGGGGCTGGTACTTGAACCAAGAGTTTCATCTGAATCTTAAATTATAGCCTTCTGGTTTTAGTAAAACAGATTAAGATACAATCCTGTTTGTACAAGGCAAGAGGAGATCTCTTTGCTCCCCATCATAAAACCACCTTTCATTTATCATCAGACATTCTAGTAGCCATTTTGAAAGGCCAGAGGACTCAGACCAATAAGATGGCTACACGTTGCTATCCTAGCTATACCCAGGAGTAGGAAAGTATCTAATATTAAAGGTTGAAAAAAACTTGTAGTTTAAATCGTTACTTTTCCCTATGACCACTCATATTGTGGAATTTAATGGCTTCAGTTAGGAAATCAAAGTCTTTCACACCACACTGATGTAACTAGAATAATCTTTGCTGTTAGTGAACCATAAGCTCCTTTGCAGACTTGAAAAAAAGGGACCACAATGAGTCAAAAAAGGCCTGCTGGGGAAAGTTGTACTCGGAAGAAGTCTGATGCTTTCAGTTCTTCTGCATATCTAGTTGGGTGGGGAGAGCATAATACTAAGGCTCTAAAAGTTACAGCCAAAATGGCTTTAAAAGGGGGGGGGGGGGG